CAAGCACTATCTAAATATTATTAACAAAACTATCTTTTGTTTGTTTGGATTTCTTGAATTATGGATATGCAATCTCACTTCTATCTCTTACTTTTTCCCTGTGAAATCAAATACTAAACATCCTTGCCCTAAACAAGGCTAGCTCTGCAATCTCTCTGTTCTTGCAATCTGTTGTGTAACCAATCACTGGAGTTAAATTCCTGAATGATATCATGAGCCCAGCCTATGAAACTTTTGTTATTTTTTTCCTTCAGTGAACTTCAGTTGCTCCCATAAATCTGATGACAGAGAACGTCTTTTAGTTTCCCACAGCACATCTTCATATAATTCAGTAATCGTCAGTCATTAAGGTAAGGGACTCTTACTTTTATTATAATAGAACTGTTGATTTTCCAATTAACGATCCTGATTCCAGTAACAGTCTATACCTTTGCTGAACATTATAATTTGATATAGAACTCAAGTGTAAGATATCTTGTGTTTATTTTTGTTGCATAAAAGAAGCAAACATATCAAGCATTCTGTATGCATGTTAGAGCCAAAGAGAAGGAGAGAGGAGTGAGAGAAAGAAAATGAGAAAAGAAGTGGGGAAGAAAGAAAGAAGCCTAGTAAAGATATTAAATCTAATATTTCAGTTCTTTCTGCAAAAATAAATAAATAAATCTAGACTATAGCATTACAATGCAGTACTGCAGGCTACTTCTGCTGCCTGCCTGCAGTTAGCAATTCGAGTCTCAGCCTTCCATCCTTCCCAGGTCAGTAAAGAATGAGGACCCAGATTGTTAGGGGCAATATGCTGACTCTGTAAACGTTTAGAAAAGGCTGCAAAGTACTGTGAAGCAGTATATAAGTCTAAGTACTATTGCTATTTAGTATTCCTCTCCTCTCTAATTTAAGTTTTGTTAGACACAGGAACAGTTTCCCTTTAAAACAATCATTTCTAGTATTCATTTATCAGATCAACGATGTGTATTTTGTGTGTGTTTATATTTACTGATGCCCAGCAAATGAACCATATATATTTAAGGAGATATTGGATCCAAAAATCAAATCAGAGAAGTTCCAAAAGAATAATATAGGAAAGACTTTAATGTTTAGCAAAAGTCCCTTTTTGGACAAACTGGCTTTAATACTATTGTTTTTGGAATAGAATGAGGGATCTAATGTTCAAGAAATACATGGACAAAGAATTATTGGCAAGCAGATCACTAGTAGTCCTTTTCTGGATCCTAGTCAACAGTTCTGATCCTACAATTCCTGACTAAACTACTTATACCTATTATAGATATCTTGAATTTAGACTCTAATCTTGTGCAGGACAGTTGTCAAATAGACTCCAAATAACTGATTATTTTATCATCTATTAAATCCCAAACTAACATCAAAAGACTAAATAATAACAGGAACAAAAATGGGAAAAAAGAATAAAACCTCTTGAAAATAGCAAAACCAAAATGCATTTTAGCAGAGAACACTCTTAAAATATCCAGATTTAATATAAAAAGCTTGTTTGTTATCCATTTGGTATACTATTAACAGTGCAATTATAAGAATGCTTACTTGAATGCTTAAAATTGCACTATATTCTGTAAGGTTTACTCTTGTGTAAATAGGATAGAATGCAACATTAATGTTAGCAAAATTTAGAAGCTGATTTATGGAATAATATATTCTTAGAGAAAAGTTGCATTTTTACCAAATACAAATTCAGTTTCAGAAACCAAATAGATTGGCAAATTTACAAATTTTGTACAATCAACGTTTTTGGATCTTAGGATGTAACATGCCTAGTCCTCCTCTAAAAACAAATCAAACCTGGTGAGGATAATTCCATTATTTTTTTTGAGAAAACATCTACCGATGTGATTCTTGGATTACAAAGGAGGCAGAGTGTCATATTAAGTTATCTACTTTTCAATAATCTTTAATTTCCTTTTAACATTCAACATTAATATTTCTTTTCACTTACTGCTTCTTTTCAACTTTCTTGACCCACCTACTATGTTTAGTCTTCATTCCACAGTTTTTTGGGCATTTCCTATTATTTGTCTAGCAAATTATTCTTTATTTTGTTAAACTGTTAATTTCTACCTTTAATTAACAGTATAATGAAGTATTTTCTAAACTATGTTTTATTTCAGATCCATCACTGACCACATAAGTTAGATTCCCAACTGATAACAATGGAGATCATGAAGAAAACCCTGTTGCTTGTATGGAAATTAATAATTGACACCTGCCAAAATTTCAAGCAGCAGGAGATTCATGACCTCTAATGGAAAAACAATCTCACTATTCAGTTGTTTGTAAAAGAGGTTTTGACTCTAAAACTACAAAAAAAGATAGTTTCTAAAACAGATAGACAGACAGATATAAATTTTAACAAAACATAACAAACAATACTGAAACCGTGACATAAAAATACTATATTTAAATCAGGAAGAGTAAACATTGAAGAAATTAAAAGACCATAACTGGGATCCTGAAAACCAATAAAACATTTAGTAAGTTTTCAGAACCTTCCAGAAACATACCCAGCCAGCCTTTCACTGCCCAATATATGAAGCAAAGAAACTAATCCTATTCATTATCATTTTATTTTTTATTAATTGCTACTTACATGTATACTAGGCTTCAGCTTATAATTATAACATAGGATTAAAAAAAAAAAAACAGATCCCTCACAGTATAATTATGGATGGTTTCACATTACTAACTTTTCCTTCCACAAGTTAACTTATGTTGTATTGTATCACTGTAAACACTGCATGCAGTCCAATATTGTTATGGGGCATTTTAAACCTATGTATATGGACTAACCTACTTTTGGGGAGTCTAACTGCCCCACACAACCAGTATGCGTTTTTAACAACTGTTCAATAAAATTCTTGCAAAAACTATGCAGTCCCATTGCTATGCCACATTGAAAATAACTGATTCTGAGGAGAATCAATCAGGATGGAAAACCTCAGTAAAAATTCTTGCTAACTAGCTGATGAAAACAGACATTTTAACAGGTTGGCCCTAAATCAACCTTTCAATAAGAAAAAACACTGTAAAATATAATTATCTTTGCTCATATTTCACAGGGGTAATGCATAAATATTATGTAGAGTACAGAACGAGAGCATAAACATTTTACTTAACACAACTAAGTCTATAGCTTAAATACAATAAAATCATTTAAAAACATGATTCAATTTTAAAAAATTGAAAAGGATTGTGTGCGTCCATAGTTATGACAATTAGAATTAAAACAGTACTGTACAACATAAACAAAATAGAAAGCTACTAAACAGAAGTTCTATTGACTTTAGTCAACTGGAACTTGTGTTGCATGGGACATAAGAAAAAATATAATGTGTGAATGAATTTCCCTTTTGTTTATTTTTTATTAAAATAAAAAAAGTACTTGGTCATCTTTCAAAACAGCTTTTCTATACAGGGACACCCTAATATACTGAATTATAATTTCAATTAATGGATTTAATGGATTCAAGTGTCCATAATACTTCAAATGAGATGGGGAAAAATTCAAATTAAATATTGGTAAAAGAAAAACACTACTACAGCACAATTACAAGAATTCAGTTTTGAGGCACAAGAAAAAAGAGTTCTATATACCAATGCCACAATTATAATACTAATTATAATACTAACACAAAATTATAATACTAATTTTAAATAATAACCTGTTCAGAACAAAAACTGAATCACGGTCCCAATTGCTCTAAAAATTTGCATAGAATTCCCATTTCCTTCAAAGTAGTTCTGATATTATCTCCAGGTATAAAATAAAGAACAACTCTAAAATGCTTCCAAAGACAAATACTTGTAAGCAAAGTGATAGCATTATATCAAGTAAATGTCAGATTGTTGCATATTGACGCAAAACGAAGAGTAGTATATAAGGATTAATCATGAATTCTTTTACTTTTTCCTTTTCAATTTTTAAATATTGAAATAACAACAGCTGCTAACCTTGTCAGAAACAGAATTATATTATATAAACAAGTAAACTGCTAATCTTTCCAAACAGCATGGAAAATTCCATAAAAGAAATGTCATTACAATGTGAAATTCAACAGAGTGATAGCTATGATTTTACACATGTCAATAAAATAAATATTTCTACCATCTATTTATGAAGTATATCTGTCAAATGTTAACTTAACAAATGTGTTTAATCTCTAAGTATTTAATTCATGATAGCCTGCTTGGAGCAGGATAAACATTTTAGAATAAATGTCTCCATATTTGGCCAGAAGAGTGATACCATTTTTACCGAGTCCCTTGAGAATACAGTTTTGTTATGACAGTATCAACCCTTGAGAAATATAAGCCAAAAAAAGAAACTGGACATAGTGTCAGGCAAATATTTTTGATGGCTAATAGACTATTGACCTTAATCTCTCCAGAATCAAACAGGGCCGAAAATAATGTAGGGAAAAACAGGGGTTGTGAAGCATATTTATTATGCAAACTGTTCCAGCAAAAATCATGGTTCAAACTGAATACAGCCCACCAACTATGTTTTTTGGATTGTCAGGTGCTTGCTTGACAGCTTTTTTGCTTTTGTGGGCATCAGACAGAGAAGGCTTAATCAGTCCTCTGAGTCATCACCATACATGGTTGGTGGACTGAACTCAGCTCGGTGAGTCACAAATCACAACCGATGTGTCAAACATGTACTGTCTCTCAAGATTGCTTTCCTAGGCAGGTTATTTTACACAACAGAACATCTTAGTAGTTTTAACCAGCAGGGCTAAAATTGTTCACAAATTCTGTGTAGTTATCCAATTTATATACACCTTGAAGGCATAAAAATATACTTACCGCAATATGCATTTAGAATACTGGTATACATGTTTTGTTTTTTATTAAGACTTTGTTTCACTATACAATGTGTTGCATTCTGTCACCTTGAAATAATCTACACTTGCTGATTAAATCACTGTATGCTGTAATTCTAACTTCACTTTCCTACTTTCCCTAGCTCCACAAAGATTCTTAAAACTTCCCAAACCGAAGACATTAAGCACATTGTACTCTCCCTGAAAGTCTCTGCTTCTTAGAAATCCATTCTTTCTTAAATTTCTGCTTTCCTGTTGTCATGGAGAAGGTCCAGTACATAACTCGCTCTGCTCTGAGGAGAGCCTCAACTATTGAGGTGCATCCACAAACACGGCAAAGGCTTCAGGAGCTTTTTGTAAACTTCTGTCTTATCTTAATATGTCTGTTGCTAATATGCATCATTGTGATGCTTCTTTGAAGTCCAGTATTTTTTATTGTTCTTCACTACCTTATGCAATGGGATATGCACCAGAAGGAGAAAAGAACCAAACAAGAAACATCCAGCACAAGGAAATCTATGCAAGAAAGTCCAGCACTCAGTCTAAAAAATTTCTCACCACCTCCACTCTTACTCACTGTAACCATTAAAAGCACCTGTACTGAACAGTAATTTGAAAACTACTATCACACGGTGATACATGAGCTAATTTGCCTGCTTTATTTTTAAAGGAAGACTTCTGTGGACGTTGATGATTAATGTTATATGTAAAATGTCCAACTATAAAATTTTAAATAGCAACCTTGAAATTTTGGTTGCATATTATTCTTTGGTTCCAGATTATTTGTTTGTTATTACTAATCAGCTATAAGTGTTTACTTTTATGAATAAAGAATGGGCTGAATGCACTATTATTAAATGCACAATTAAATCATTATACATTCTAGGAGATATGTGTATCTTGAGTACTTGGATTGTTAACTGAAGAATTTATTAACTTTTTTCCCCGTACATATTCATAATATAAGCTTTGAAAAGACAATAAAGCATTGCATATTTATTGCCTTGTTCTACTGAAATGCAAGTATAAATACCTTTAGACACCTACATATTGGTTTGCTTGTAAACTTCAACTAGGTGAAATGGTATATCATAGGGCAACAACTTTTAAATCAATGTACCTGAAATGGGATAACCTAAAAAATACATTCAAAATTTGGGACCTTTTACTCTTGTAGAACTGAAATTTTGCAAGATAATAATGATTATTTCCAATGCTCCTTGCAAGCCTTCTTCCTGACGATCAGGAAGCCAGGAGTTGCTTGGGCTCCCACTGCTTGTTTTTTTTTATTATTATTAGTTAAGGAAATATCTTGAAAATGATCTCATGGATTGTCTAGTTTGATATATTTATAAATATTTAATATAGTCTCTCCTGTAACACTAGTGATATCTTCCAGGTGGCACTTTCATTATACAATTGTTTTTCATTCATATAATTTAGCAGGAGGACTAGATGATGAATTTTTGCAAGTTTAATATTTTGATGATTTGTTCTACAAAGAATTTGTCACATCCACACACATACAAAATCTATACAACAGCTTCTTATTGGTTGCATTAGAATTCAATCTGTTGTCAGATTGCATATAACAAATAGCATTTGTTTTTTAGCTAAAAAAGTGAATAATTAAATCTGATTTCAAAATTTTCCCCAAAGACAACATTAAGTGGACTAGGGATAAAAATATTTTGGTTGTGTTGAAATCTCTTTTATAGAATAATCTTCTTATCACTTGTATGAAGTTTATAGGCTGTTGCTTTAACTATATATGTATGTGTACATGATATCATTATACCTAAAGTGGTAAGAAACAAATGTTGAATTATTTATTACAATATTAGAATAATTCCACTCTTTGAGAATGTACTCTTCATAACATAATTATGTTACATATGAATTTATTTTCCCTACTGAGAAACAACCAGCTCTAAACTTTCCTAAAATAAAATGAAAGCTAACTGTTTAACAAGGTATTAGATTTTATTTTAATTTTCACTGCTTAATATATTAGTTCAATCATTTTTGTGCAACACTAAGGAGTATCTGACCATAAATAAAGCATGCCAAAATTAAATCCAAAGAACATTGTTTTCAGATCATTATTGCGTATTTCAGGACCTTCTCTCACCTCTCCAATTTTGGATTCTGCAATGTTGAACAAAGCTCCGTTTAACATAAAATAACAAATAACTACATAAAGAACAGTATCAACTATTAGATATCAATACAGGTTTCAAGTGGTTTCCAGAAGTTGGGAAGTATCAACATAGGAAATCTGCTGGAGGCAGCATTTCCAAGGGAGGTAAGGAAATGTGAGATGGATCAACAGTGTTGTGGTATTGCTCGCATGCCCCCAAACGGCAGAGTTTATGTACAATTTCACTCAAATCATTCTAATAAAAACTGCACATGCCCATATGTTTACCTGAATTCTAAGATAAAAACAGATCATTAATTGTAGAAAACAGATTATTAATGTGGAAAACAAATTCATTATATTCCCAATTTCCAACTGTTTCAGTTTTAAGACTTAATTTCAAACCTTTGCTCCCTTCTCCATTTATCCAGTTATATTTTGTTCTTTTGATCTAGAAAATTTTTTGAAAATGAGTAGCCAGATAATTAACTAGTAACCCCTCCTTACTTTTCAATGAATAATTTTTATTAAAAGAATTTTTTATGAAAATTTTAAAAAACTACAGAAAGACAGAAGAAAAAACAGATGTTATAAAAGTTAAAAAGTGAATAACAAAAAGATATCTAAAGAAATAACTAGATAGTACTACCAGTCCTTTAATAGCCTCCAGATCAGAGTAGATAGGTGTTTATAAACAATGTTAAAATTTTGAACAAGAGTAGATAATTAACATTGCTGCTTATCATGAAGCAGCTAATCAATATTGAATACAATTTATTAAACTGTGACATATATTGCATGGGATAAGGTTTTATACTACTTGGTGTGAAAAACTAATGCCAATATATAACATGGTAAATTATTGCTTGTTAGATCACTGCCTATATTTTCTTTCAAGATGAGTTTGGGGAGGAGGCATTGGTATGTACTCACATTAGCTGTGGCTCACTATCTTTTTTTTCAGGTATTGGACAAAAAAATCTCGTATGAGTCAAGAAAAGCTCACACAAGAGTACTGCAACCCACACATATGTCAACTTTAACTCACTGTGACTGAAGTGAACCTGCTTATAACAGCAATCAAGATTTCTAGTGCAAGCAAAATAAGTGCAAAGTTTGCCACAATGGATTTTGCTGCAAATAGAGGTCTCAACCTGTTACTCAATTTTCTACTTATTTTTTTGGTCCTTGTTCTTATGTACATTCTTGTAAAGCTCATGTGAGGGGCTTCATTTAAAGTCTTCATTTATGCCATCATGGTAACTTGAACCTTCAAACTGTATGAATATAAAGAACAAAATGAACAAGACAAAAAATGCCTAGACTTAACATCCTGCAGATCAGGGAAGCTTTCGCTGAAATAAAAAATATATTATTTTTACAATGGAACAGATCAGATCAACAGCACAATCTGAAACCTAAAGTAGAAAAAAGGAAAAACAAACATGGAATTCTCTACAGGAAGAAAATAATGGATGTGAACATGGAATCACCTGTGACGTTTATATTGGAGATAAGGGCAAATAGCCATTTAGAGGAAGTATAAAAACTACATGAAGACAAATACTTATTCAGAGTAAATTTCCACATATTTGATGACGATACCTATACATGGGAATAAAAATGAGCATAATGTAACTTTGTTATGAACAACCGTGCATAAGATTAATTGCTTATTATTGTTAATATTACAACAGGGCATATATATTCTATTGTAAAGTGCTATAATACAGTATTATTGTAATAACATTTTTAGCAAACTATAGAATACTATTTCCACTAAAAGCATATTAATCTTCCCATAATTTATATAAGTTACTTCTAAGCCTGCTTGTCTCTATTGTGAGGTTTTATTTGGGGGCATCTGCTCTCAAATTCACTACTGTTAGAAAATTTCAGACTAAGTCCTATTCAATTAATCACTCCTATACCTTTCATGCCAGATTAGAGGATTCTAAAAGACAATTAGAATATATGACTTTAAGGTTTTTTAATGTATTGATTTTGTTGTGATGAGATTACAAATTGTAACTTCAAGCAGACTTCAGAAACTAAGATTGCACTATTTCTTTGTAAGCAAAATATTTCCATTTGCCACTTTTTCTCTTCTTATCTTTATTTCACACAGAAATGAAACACCCGGTGAAATTATACTCTAGATGTGATTGCAATTTTCGATGTCCTCTGCCAGATTTCCACAATCAAAATCAATGGGAAACCCACAGGAACTTGGAAGTCACAGTTACCTGAGGTCCTCACTTAACAACCCATGCAGTCCTCACTTAATGGCAGCATCTGAGACTGCTGGAACTGTCATCATTAAGTGACATGGTCATGTGACTTCACACTTTACAACCACATTGCTTAGGGATGTCAATTCTGATCCCAATTGTTGTCATAACCCAAGGATTATCTACCCTGTTTATCCAACAATACGGCCTCCCCCAATAGGAAGTCCCAGCATGTTTTATAGGTATGAAATGAAATTAAGCCCCTCCCCCCAAATTAAGGCCTATATTAAAACATGCGAAATGGGGGGGAATGGTGGGGGAGCTTGCCGTAAGGAAGTACTTTTGTGGCACACCCGGATATGGTGCTGCCTGCATTGACCCCAATACGAAGTGCCCCACCAACGCCGAGGTCAATATCCAAGCCGTCACCGCCCGCCCAAAGATGCAAGGGGGGGGGGGAAATTAAGTCACCCCCGAAAAGACGGCCTAGCCATTTTTTCGGGGCTCAAAAAAAAAATAAGACCCGGCCTTATTATATGAGAAACACGGTATATCAGTGGAGGTATGTGCTTGTGTGCCCATCTTAGGACAAGAGTCACTTTCAAAAACTTGAGAATTCTGGCAATATAATAAGTGTTGCAAGACAAACTAAGTTTGATAACATATCTTCAAAAAACAGCTACAAAATTTTTAAAACTTTTCAAAAATAAAATAATCATAATAAAAATTCCTGGTAATCTAGAAATATGGTAGAATGTCTGAGTATAAACTTTTGTGAACATCTTTATACACATTTGAATAATTCATCTATACTTTAGTTATTTTAAAATTTCAGATTTATTTTAGCAGATTATACCTCTCCTTTCTCAACATTACATAGGCCACTAGCCTTGGATTCTGGAGTCTGGAATGCTGCCGTTGAAAACACAAATATCTTGTTATATTGGGGGGAAGGGGCACTTATTTAAATATGACCTGGAATACAGTAAAATTTGACATTTTGAGGAATTTCAAGAACAACCAGCTCAGGTCTTCCCAAAGTGCTGCATCTTGTTGAGATTTATAGAAAGGCTAATTAGTAAAAAAATCTACACACATACAGATAATCTTCAACTTAAAACCATTTGTTTAGTGACTATTTGAAGTTACAGTGGCACTGAAAAAAGTGACTTATGAAGAGTTCTTACACTTACAACCATTGCAAGGTCATATGATCAAAATCTGGGTGCTTGGCAACTAACATGCATTTATGACAGTTGAATTGTCCTAGGATCATGTGATTACCATTTGCAATGTTCCCAGCCAGCTTCTGACAAGCAAAGTCAAAAGGGGAAGCCAGATTCGCATAATGACCACATGATTCATTTAACAACTGCAGTGAATTCACTTAACAACCACAGCAAAAAGGTCATAAAATGGGGTGTGACTCATTTAACAACTACCTTGCTTAGCAATGGAAATGTTGAGCTCAACTGTAGTCGTAAGTCAAAGTCTACCTGCATGAAAACACCAGCACAAATACTTCAACGAATGCAGTGGGTTACTGATACATTATCGTGTCATTTATTTTAATGTATCAGCAGTGTCACTTTTGCTGAATAAGAAGATGATAACGTGTTCCATCTCTACAAAAAAATGTGTGACAATATTAATTTCCTCACTAACTCAGCAGCAGCAATATGATAAAGATGAAAAAAGTCCAAAGGGGAGGAAAACTCAAATTATATGACTTGATTACATTATGACTATTTCTCAGTATGAAATTATTTTCACAACACACTATAAAACATGGGCATCTAAACGAATCTTCACCATTATAGGATTTGTAAAGTTATTAAAGAAAAAAATCTTATTAAAGCATTCTAAATGACAGAAAACCAAACTTTTTCCTCTTTTATTCTTTTAAATATATACTATTAACAGCTAGCAAAGGATCCAGATCATAGTAGAATTATGACACCAAGGTAAAATACATGTGTGTATCTGTAATTATTGTTACGATTATTATTTTCATGTCATTTATTATTGTTCTGTGTCACACTGGGAATATTAAATGAAGCTTACACATAATTTATTGTTCCTAATTATGACATACCTGACAAATCTGTGATGTAGTCAACTATTATAGTTATAAGGCTAAGGTGCAACAAAAGACTTTATTTTTAATCTTGCTTCTACTCTAAAATCACTAAAAGACTTTACCTAAAACACTAGTTCTTCCCTCGAGCCTTAGCCCTCTACCATATGGAGAAAGAAAATAGCCTACCTCAGGGGTGTCAAATTCAAGGCCCAGGGGCCAGATCTGGCCCACAGGCTGCCCTGGAAACAACGGACCGGCTCACAGTGTCTCTGCCAGCAAAAACGGAGCTCAGGAGGGCTGCGTATGGCCTTCCCGACCTCCATTTTTGCTGGCAGAGGGTTACAGGGGACCGTCACTGCCAAAAACGGAACTCGCGAGGGCCACAGCGGCACTGCCAAGCTCCGTTTTCACTGGCAGAGGGTTGCAGGCCACTGCAGCTGAAAACGGAGTTCGGGAGCCCATTTTCCCTGGCAGAGTGCTCGAGCCATCACAGGCGCCCCCGACACAAGTGACGTGGAGCCTGGCCATGCCCACCCCAACCCCCTCAAGGTCAAACACAACCCTGAAATGGCTCTTGATGAAATCAAGTTTGACACCCTGGCCTACGTTATAGGGTCTACTAATTATTAAATACTGTGCTCTATGTCAAATAAATAAATCTAAGTTTATAAATGCTGGCTACCTAATATTTTTTAGATCATGTACATGCTACATAAATTTAAGTACTTCTTTCTTACTGGTAG